AAATGTTTCTCCATTAACGGTTCGTATAAAAGAAAAAAAAAGAAGAAAATCTCAGCTACAAAAGTTCTAAAAACTTTTGCTCTACAATTTTTACAAATTAGATTTGCATAAAAAATATCGGCTGCCATCAGATGGATGTAGTTTAGCAAAAATAACCATCTAAGCGTGACCTTGTACTGTGTTTCGTGATAAAACAAACTTGATGCATAATTTCAACAGTCATTGTGATTATTTGTAGAATGTGTTTCTATATGGAGAAATTAAATGGCCTAAAAATACAACCGAGTTTGAAAAATAATTACACATTGAATTTTAATTAAATGATGAAAACACTTTTAAAAACAAAATTTATATATGTTTAAAATCACACATGTTATATAAATCAGATAAAAATTTTTGATGAACCATAGAATAAACGATGAAGAAGAAGTGTAGGGCAAATTGCTTTAACAAAATATGCTAAAATATAATGGGCGCCATTTGAAAATTTGTTTCGGTGATGCAATTGCTTGAGGGCTGTAAAACAAAAGTTAGCATTTTTTTCTTCGTAAAGAATTCTTATTTCGTAAAGAATTAATGAAGTTTAGTTGTGATAGTGTAAAAAATCATAAAATATTTTATGTTTTCTGAATTATTAATTACATAGAAGCTGCTTCTAAATGTTTCGCCATTTTGTGTGAAGTTTCCGAAAAAGCCTGCCTTTCCTGAAATTAGGCTAAAAATGCGATTATAATTTCAAACACATATGACTAAACAGAACTAAATATCCAATGTTAATATCAGATCCAGAGGCGTAGCCAGTTTAATCACATTTTTTATTATATTAACAATTAAAATTTCAATGGAACATTGTATTTAAAGATGAAACATAAATATACAAATTGTAACATATGACTCAGTTACTGTCAAAGATAATTTACATAGTTTACTCTTGTGAAAATTTTGTCTGCCTCATTTTGGCGCCCCCTGTACTTGGCGCCCGGGGACATAAGTACCCCCCCAGTTACGCCTCTGATCAGCTCATAAAATAAACTCTTCATCAAAGTTTCGTTTGTAAAATTTATTCATGAAAAATCCTCATGAAAAAAAAACACAAAAAGGAGTTAAACTCATAATTAATGTAGTAGGTACCCTTTAAAAATAATGTTCAACCTCACATAGAACCACGAGTACTAACGAAGTTGAGATCAAACATAACACAAATAAATCACAATCAAGTCAAACAGTTATGGCTAGTATGTAATGAATAGAATAATATTAAAATAAATATTATTAATTAAACTGTAGTTTAATTAATAAATGTTTATAATGTATACAGGACACTGTATACAAAACACTGTATACATTATAAACAATTGTGAAAATGTCGACAGACAACATCAATTTAAAAACCAGTACAGTGAAACATAAAAATTTTCAACTAACATTAAAAAACAGATTTTTAACTAGTCTATCATTAAATAAAATAGCCCAAAAATTCATTGACGTAGATGCATAGACATTGCATATTAATATATAGGTACACAGGCTTAAATAAAACTTAAAATTTTTTCTAGCTCACATTATAAATTCAAAACTTTCAATCTAAAATAGTTATACCCTATATGTCAAAAAATCACCACCAATCACAGACTTCCTGGCACGTCTTCAAATAGGCTGTTTGTGTCTTGTCGATTCCTCTGAAACTAAGAACGTAATAGGCTTGTAACATGTTTTAAGATTTAGTAAACTGTGAATCCTCTGATCTCATTCCAATTAAATCAAATTTTTTCAATCAAGTTCATGTTTCTCTTTTCCCCAATTATTGTAAGCTCTCACAAAGGTCTTGTGGGTAAGTTGTTTCCACATTATATTCCTAAATACTGCTCAAGAAATTATGACTTTCACCACATGGCTGAAAATGTGGGATATAAAAAAGTAAGCCCAATTGCAGGAATGTTTTTTTTAAATTTAGGTAACTTGAGACAACAACACTCATTTGGTTGAATTTTTCACATTTTGATCTACATTTCGAAATTGGACAGCAAATTCAATTTTTGAGACCATCCACAACCAAAAAAAAGAAGGAAGAATTTCAATTTGGACGACGCTTCAAAATTTTTGTTAACACGAAACATTTATTTATTATCATGTATTCAAATAATATATTCGATTTTTTATTTTAATTTTATTCTTTATTTAATTTTTATTAAATTTTTTATAGTTTTTTTGTTAATTTTTGCTCATATTTGTTAATTGTTTTGAAATTTGGTTGTTATTATTATTTAGTTGAATGTAGGCCTGAATATAACCTGCACTCAAAATTCACTTCCCTAAGCTAAGATGTACAGATGTAGGGTAACGTGGGGCAAAACGCCGCATGGGGTAAAAACCTAAATTCAGTTTGCACGAAATTTGTTTAAGACCAAAAGTTTTTCAATTAATTTTTTCAAATTAGAACGTACCCTTATTATTTTGAATATAAAACCACGCCGTTTCTCCACTTTTTTTTTCTGTTTCAGAGTTTTATATAATTTGCGAGTGAAAAATTGGTCGTGTTATAAATTTTGTGTTTGGGTTTTTAATTAATTTCTTGATAATAAGATCGTTATTTGTGAAGAAAAGAGGTTTTTTATGAAGAAAAATCATTTTCGCATATACAAAAGTAACTTTTAATCGGTTGGAACAATTTTTTGTATTTTTAAATTAAATTTATTCTTAACATTGTCTATGGGGGTAAAACGCCTCTGTGATTTAGGGGCAAGAGGCCCAATTTACATTTATTGAACTATTTAACAAATTTCAGATATTTGTATGTAGGCAGCTATCCTTGTAGTTAATTGTTGAAATGTATTGAAATTTTTGTTTTATGTGTAAATTAATTTCATGTATTTTAATTTTTAAAGGTATAAAATGGTCAGAAATTATGTAAGAAAATCTACACGATGCTCAATTTATGATGGTAAAAGTTGGAAAAAAGCCTTGGATGCTCTAACCAATGGCCAGTTATTTAGTAAAGTTATCAGAGAATATGGAGTTCCTGCAAGAACTTTAAGAAGACATCAAAAAGCCATGACAACATCTCCGGTAACTATAAAGCTTAGTCGGTTGTCAAGCGATCTAAAGATTTGACTCCTTGTGGGACATGTTCATAAATTTTTTGTAATGATTTCACAGGATTTCAATGAATAAAATGCTAAAAATGTAACATTTGGCATCATAATTCCTGTATAGGGCTGGAAGAAGACTATCGTAGAACTTTTATTTGTATCAATTGGGACAATAATTAACAATAAAAATAAAATTTTTATTTTCTTTTTATCCAATTTTTATTTTATGTACAATAAAACTGTTAACATTTTTTTACATTTACAGTAATTTATGGGAAAGAGCTTTTATCGAAAAAAATGATTGTTATTTAACTTTTTTTTAATCTTTTCATTTGCCAATGTTTGTTAAGAGTTGTAATGTAGGCCTAGTTACGCTTTTTTAACCGTCCCAACTTGTTTGCTTGGTAGCTATAAATAATTCATACTATAATTTGAATTGCAGAGTCACAAAACTATAAACTTCCTTTGTGTAAATTACAATTAACAGTTTGTATTTATTTTTGTAGTCAAGCAATGTATTTTTAGCAGTTGAATCGCGAATAAATTTTGAACAAAATTGAAATGATTTCGCAATAAAGTCATTTATAATTATTTTAATAAAACGTCCATTTTTTGTCTGAAAGAACATTTATTACTAATATAAAAGTCTGTTCCAGTTCTCGTATGTGAGCATAATTTATGGTTATTTTACCATTAATTTGTGTTGTTTTTTTGTTAATTTTTCCCATATAACATCATATGTATTTTTTGTATCAATCTTTTTTATTTTTATTCTTTGTTACTCCATCATTTTTATTTGATATAATTTCGTTAAGTTTGAAGCGGATTTATGACTTTTTATCGTCATCGTCATTTTCAATTTCGTAAGAAGAAACATCAAAACAACATGAAAACCATTGTCGCACAGTATACACGCTACGTGCATATGCATCAATTTGGTTTCTTTGTTTAGCTTTCAAACAGGGTGAAAGCTGGGTTGCGTGATACTGAGGCGAGTGACAGATGTGGATGGCGTCGAGGGGTATTTCGGTTTCACCATAGGTAGCCAAGCGGCAACCCCCGATCTCGGGGAAAATGTCGTCTAAACGTGTGTTGTTGTTTGTTGTTGTTAGCTTTCAAATGGATTAGGAGTTTGATGCTTGCCGTAATTATTTTCTTCTTATTTATTTTCACTTGACTTTACATTCCTCTTTTAATTTTATGTTTTGAATTAATTTGGTTTTTATTTGCTGAAAAAGTATATTGCTTTTTGTTAAACATTACATTCAAAATACAATAAAAAAAAGTAAATACACATATTAAAAAATGTTCAATTGCACGAATTAATAATTTGTTCTTAAAAAATCGTTTCACCGGGATCGAAAGTGAAACAAAAAGTTTAAAAAATGGAAAATACATTTAAATTTAATTCAAATCAGTATTGGGAGCATGTACATACATGCAACGAAGAACAGATGAAATCTGCATTTAAAATCGGAATTTTTACAGACTGAGGCTTATGAATAGATTCATGAGTTTTGGTATTCTTTTTTGCTTTCTTTCAAATAAAACTTTCAAAATAAATCTTCTAGAAAACCTGCCGCTCTGTAGCTGTCAAGCGCATTAACCAAAAAACCGCCTTTGTAATAATAAAACAATTTTTTTTAAACATTCTCGTTAGCAATAACAATAATTTAACTTTACTATTTAGCATAAAACATGTCGTAGTGAAGTGAGCTTAAAATATTTTATGGAAAATTGATAAAATTGTCAACGATCATGATTTCGCATACTTTCCAAGATTACAGAAAAAAATTTATCCAAAACCGAAATATAAAAAAATGAATCAACAGATAAAAAATCAACTTAAAACAGCTAAAAAGAATTTTAATAAAAATTTTTTAAAAACCACACGACAACCTACCTACCTACCTCTCAATGCTGATGGTCGTCAGTGTGAGCACGGAGCAGATGACGGACACATTTTGTATATAGTGCACGAGTTTGCACAGAACCACACCCAGGTCCCACGTGAAAGTGAACCATTTCGCTAACTGAATAAATCGTCATTACAATTGGACAATCAATTTATTGTCAATACTATTATATTATTATTATTATTATTATTAGTAGTAGTAGTAGTTGTTGTAGTAGTAGTAGTAGCAGTAGTAGCAGCAGCAGTAGTAGTTGTAGTAGTAGTAGTAGTAGTAGTAGTAGTAGTAGTAATAGTAGAAGTAGTAGTCGTAGTAGTAGTAGTAGTAGTAGCAGCAGCAGCAGTAGTAGTAGTAGTAGTAGCAGTAGTTCATCCAAAAAAACAAAAGAAGAACATGATATCTAAGCCGGTATTGAGATATCGAAATAACGAATGGAATAATAATGAAATCGTGTAATTTCATGAGAAAATGAGGAAAAGAGATTAATTTACTCTCCTACCTGTCTCTCTTTTTCAATTATTTACTCATCTTCTCTTGATCTATCGTTGTTTTTAACAGGTTTATTCCATGAAGCGTGAGACGAAGCATGGAAGAGAATTCCATATAAAAAAATAAAATTCTAAATAATATGGAACCCATTAACTTTTTCATTCATAGAACGTATGATTAAATATTTGAAGTAAAAAAGTAAGTCAAATTATTAAAATATCACATCCGTTTTCTTAGTATTTTAGTTCATAGTTTGGTGTTTGGCTAAAGGGTTTAAAGGTTAAAGGTCAATTTCACTCTTCCAAAGTTCAGAGGATTCAACAGAGCGCACAAACATCGTATATGAATACATGCTAAACGACGCATCACACACGAAGCATGTGATAGGCGAGAAACTTTTTTTTCGAAACAGGTTACATCGAAACAGCAGCTGGCGACCTTAACCATTAGATCATCACGCCGCCCTGAATGATTATGTGGAGTAATGAAACAGATGAACGTTTAAAGGAATAAAGTGAATTATGAATTAATAACATGCATTTTTATGAACATTAAAATGTACTTGGATATTAATAAACAAATGATGGAATGAACAAAAAGAACTAATAAAATGGTTACTGAATGGGATAAAATGAATGATTACATTGTATTTGAAATTCGGATTGCCAAAAATTTATTGTGCATTGGAACAGCAGTTTTTAAGTGAATGATTTAAAAAATATAAAAAACGGATCATAAAAAATGGATAAATTTTTAAAAACGAGGTAGAAAATGAGAAATTGAATTATTAATGAGGATTAATGAATAAAGTAAATGGGTAATAAAAAAAAGTAAAAAAAAATCTGGTGAACAGCAGGCATTTTAGAGTACGAAATTATGGTTCATGTAACTATTAATTAATTAATTAATTAATTTCTAATAAATTACTAATTACACTACACTAAACGTTATTGTCTCTAAAAAAATTAATGCTTGAAACTATTGAAATAAGTCTACAACGACGTCAGAAAGGGTATCAGCTTGTTTTTTTAAATTTAACAGCGTTTAAAATGCAATCACAAAGAAACTAATTTTAATGATCTGTCGTTAGACAAATTTTTCCAACTCCATATACAAAACATTTTATTTCCCTCCAAACCTGCCCACCCATTCGATCAAAAACCTAAAACATTCGGAGTTTAATATCAATACACTTGAAGATTTAGATAATTGTGCTTTGAAAATTTTAAATAATCACTGGCTAATGACATTTGGTCTGGTCAATTTCAGAACAGTTCAGTCAATTAGGTCCTACCGTCATCGTGTGCCATCTAGCGCGTCAGATACGCAGATTGAACTCAATTTCATGCTCATCTCATTCCTCTTCCTCCTTCAATTTATTATTTATATCGAGTGGCGAGCATCGTTCGTTTTCTGCACATATTGCAGTTCGTATTTTATTTCATTTCCGATTTATAATAAAACTTCATGTTTTATAAAATTAATCAAACTGTATCCAATATTTATTATTATTATCCTTATTATTGTTATTATTATTACCATTATTATTACTATCATTAATATCTGTAGAGCATTTATGTAGCGCTTTTTAGCGAAAAGTTTCTCACAAGCGTTGCAGATATTAAAACGAAATGAAAGAAAAAGTGTCATTGAAGCGTCATCTTCTTCCTTCATAAGCAGTTGTGGGATCCAAAAAGTGTTACTGATTGTTTTTGTCAAATATCCAACCACCCCTGACTAGAGCAGTTCTTTGATGCACGCATCTGAACATTTGGCATTGACAGACACACACACACACACACACACACACACACACACACACACACACACACACACAGTCGAAACGATGTAGAGTAGATAGTTTTCTCTCTAATGAACAAATAACTTATTTACCAAGTCACTAACTAGTCATGTAGTCAAGTAATTAATTATTTAATTAATTAATTCATTTATTTAACTGTTTTTGAATCATTATTTTATCTTCCACACCGTTATAACCATGTTATTCGATACGATCCAGTTATCATTTTAGAATCTTTTCTCGCCTGTTGCAACAGTTCATGCGTTTGTCAGATTCTGATTTTTCAAACAAAAAAATACAAAAAAACTAACAGTCAGTGATCCCCATCCCCATTTTAAGAGTGGTTGCAACATTCTCAGGAAGCATTCATTAAAAGATACAAAACGGCGTACCATTTTCTGAGAAAACTACAAGGTTACGACTTTCTTAATTATTGTGAGGTGAAGGTCATTAGTAGCAGGAAGGTCATGGCGTAAATTAATTTTCCTTGGCAGGCCAGCACCTGAAAATGTTGAGAAACTCTTCGTTGAAGTACTTATGCATCTTTTGAGTTTTATTTCACATCAATAAAAAAAATTGATGTTTCTGATATGGGCTGATGATTGTTATAACTTGCGTTCATAATGTAATGTTATGTTTTGTGTTGTTATGCTACGTTATGTTATGGTATGTTGTGTTGTGTTGTGCTATACATTCAATATTTCAAAAAAAATATAGTAATTTGATAAATGAGAACACTTGTTTTTAAGTTACAGAGTGAAAGGTAGAAAAACGTAAGAAAACAGTTGACAACATCAAAATTTTAATCTTGACACTTTAATCAAACTTCACAAAGACATTCGTCAAATAAGAGCTTAAATTAAATAGCCTGCAAAACGGTGTAGATAATTTTTACAAAAATAGCAACTTTTTCAACAGCTATTATAGATGTGATTTTTGAAATAACAGATAAAATATCAAATTTTATATTCATGATCCTCGTACAAAACTCGTTAGCAATGCAGGCAAATTGCATGGAAAGAAAGCTTTGAAAAATCTAATGAATGGAACGCATCATTCCACGATGACAATAATCCTTTTCCATTCTTACGCTTCCTTCCTGTCGTTTACAATTATTTTCAGTTTTAATGATGTGAAGTTTTATATACTTAAGAGAGACAATTTTATAAAAAAAAATTTATATTTATTACGAAAACAAATTTAAATTTATATTATTATAATAATTTATTATAATAACTCGAAATTTTTATGTAACATAACTTTTGTTTCTATATTATACTTTAATATCTTACACACACACTATACAGCTTTCATTCGAACATTAGAAGTAAGAGAGTGAGAACCTCGAAGGCGTGACCAATCGCCTTCTTTTAGAGCATTATTTTCGCTTGCACGGTTGACTGGGCATAGAATTAATGATGAGGCCTTATTTTTTGATGTTAACTTATCGCTGATCATATTTTGGTCGGCAAATAAATTGGGGAGTGAGTTATCATCAACACGTCGAGGCGTGCTCATATGGGAGTTTGTATCTCTACGTCTCACGTATGCTATGTAGGATTTTGTACTATCTTAAAAATATTGCGACATTGTACAAGAACGCAGCATTTTATATAGGAGAGTCTGAAACAAAAGATAACGTACAACTTGTAATAATAAAATAATATCTTCTTTTAAAAATCTTAGAAATGTGTTGAAGTGGTTAGTAATTGAATGAAAGTGTCATAGCAAGATGCATCGGAAAACGTGATAATTCCATCGTCAAAACTCTTTTTTATTTACCATTCATCAGTGAGATTTTTTTAATTGAACTTACAAGAGAATTTAATTTAATTTCCATGATTGTCACTTCTCAAATTCTTATTTTGGTATGTGTGCCTAAAAACCTTCATCGCCTTGTGGACGGTGAACAACACGTGTATGCTGCTGTGCCACGTCGTTCATTAAAATAATTTTGTTCATTATAATAACTATATATATATTTGCCCGTGGATCTGAGAAAATTCAACGACGCTAGCCGAAACTTTTGAAACATCATTTGTCTAAGAACCAAGAGCGAAAAAATAGAAAATTTCTTGATTACGCGTCAGCTAGCATTACGTTCAATGAGGCGCGGTCTTGGATATGTACAGTCTATTGACAACACACTCAGGATGTAATTGTGTGTGTAAAGTGGAAATATTTGTTGTCAAGAACGCCAATGCCAACCGGTGCCGTCAACAGCTTTGCTACATGGTTTAAAACTCATCTCAGTTTCCATATCGTTATATTTCTAACAGTTAAAATCATTGAAATATTTTTAACGCTTGCACAAATAATTTTTCATTCTTGCTTATAAAAACTTTATCACAAATTATTTTAAAAGATGTCCATTAATTTTGGCTCAAAACATTCATTAGATTAATCCTTAGCAGCAAAATTGGGCATTTCAACATTTTAACGCATGTTTATTAAACTTTCTTGTTTGCACGTTTTGCTGAAATTGAACGAATTATGTTGTCCAATTTCGTAAAACGATATTTTAAAACATTTTTTATTTGAAAATGTATCAATTTATCTTGATTTAAATTTTTGTTTTACTTTGATGTGATAATACTTTTGAAAAAATTTTTAATTCTTTCAAAAAAAATAATAAATTCAGCTCAAGGAGCCAAAATGAAAGTACCCAAAACAAAATTAAGTTTGAGAAACATTAAATAAAAAAATGTTATCTTTATCTTATTTTATCTTTTTTCAAAACTTTTCATTCACCAGCGAAGGAAATGAGTTTGAAAAAATTTGCTGAAAATAAACATCAGCTGGAAATCTCAAAATGAGAATCTGGCATTTGAAAATGTTTATCAGCGTTCTTCGTAATGCGTTTGTAAAACGACTTTTCAAAATTCCTATTTCAATTAAAATTTTTTAATATTTCATTCATCATACCAATTTTTTCAAGCTTACAATAAAATTTTGTATGTTAGTATTTTTGTTGCATTGCACTTTTTGTATTTTTAAAGTTCAATCTGGGAAAATGTCAATTTACAGTTTAAAAAAAAATAAAAACAAATTTTTAAAATGAGGCAGGAATTTAACTGAAAATTTAAAAAAAAATCATTCAAGCATACATGAATTAACAGTTTAAAAAAACAAGATGAAAAAATTAAAAGAAGATAGTGAATATAAACTGAACATCGTGATCGGACAGAGGTGGACAGTCATTCATTCTTCATTCTGATGTTTGCGCTTAATAAGATCGCCGATCAGAGATTCAGTCCAACGCAATCCTTAGAATACAAATAAGCGTGGAATTAATTCATCATTCGTGCTGCGGTCTGCAGAGATTTACGGTGATTAGGTTATCGTCTGATGAATGAGCAGAAAAATATTAACGAGGTCTATTGTCTTGTTGCATATGCTTATGGTGGTCATGAGTGTTGGATGTCGTGAATGTGCTTCTGCAGCTAATTCAAGCTTTTGCATAGCTGTATGTTCACATATGAAAAACGTGGCAAACTAGCCTTTTATTAAATATAGTGGTCTAAGATTTTTTTTAAATGTGATTGATATTCGAAATTATAAAATTTCCGTTCATGTCATGTGTTTTTTCACTGGTTCAATTGCTACAGAAAAATCACACAATTATTGTGAAAATTTGGAATGGTTTAAATGAAGACATTGGGAATGCTATTAGTGTGAATGAATTTGAAACAAAAATTTACGTCTTCTTAGAAAAATTTCTTTTGAAGTATAATTGGATTTTTTTGATTGGTAGCCTAAATAATTATTTACTTGGTTTTTTTTATGAATCAGTGCTTATTGCAACACTGAAGTTAGTTTTATTTTTTGATATTGGCATAATGACTTTTTATTTTTCGCCAATTTTTATTACACATATGTTGTGTTAAGTCATAATATATTATAAACAATATATTTGCACACGTGTATAAGCATTTCATCATTTCGTTAAACCATAAGCAATGAAGGATTCATAGTAGTCTCACTGGCTGTCTTAATGAAAACAGTGAGTGGCATTTTTCAATGCCGAAAATTCGACTGTCATCTGTATAAAAATGTACCATGATCGGATGTTTGAGCACGACAGCGCGTGTATATGTAGGGCAGTTATTAGAGTTAACCTCCTCCCCGAGATATTATAAACGAGCCCATCAAACAAAAATCCACACACACACACACACACACACACACACACATCCTGAATCTACCATAGGATATATATATACATGCATGTTTATTGGTGACACATAGAAATTTACATGTACGTGTTTGTACGTATAAAAATACAATGAGTGTATGTGACACAAATATCCGTGCCCTGCTTCGTCTTATAAATCAGAAAAGACCATGCCAGGTAGAAATAAAGAGAAGAAACAGGCTCGTAAACAAGCTGCCACAACCCCGCGAGTTCTTGTTATAAATGATATCTACCAATGCACATTTTGCCTATGCAGGTCGCGAGAATAAAACATGAATGGCGTGCACACATTTATAATCCTTGATTTCAATATATTTATTTATTTACTACATTTATTTTTAATATATTCACACGTGTTCAATACAACCGTATGCTGCAGACATGCCGCGAGATGCTTCCAGATTTGAGCTAACGAACGAACAATGGAGATGCTAGAACGTTTAGAAATGAAAGTTATTCTCTTCTGTAAAATATGCAATGAAGTCGGAACGGTCGATGTTTTTGAGTGGTGTCTCTGAGCACATCATGGGCATGGGCATATTCATAACACGTCTACTGCTGAGAATAAAATTATCATTTGCCATTTTTGACAAATGGCAACCTCGAGACGCTATAATATACCGCATCCGTTTGGATATATAGCCTTTATAGGATACTCGGCTCCAACATTATTTCAAAACCTATTTTTAACAAAAATTTGTAAGCTCGAGATTTTGTTTGCAAAGTTACGAAGTTGTATAACAGCATGTTAAATATAATGGAATGACATCAATTCACACAAGCATTCGACGGTTGAACGATATGAAAATGAATCGTACGTACGGTGAGTGAAAAGGTCTTTAAGCGCAATTGCTATTACTGTCCTTTATTAATGAAATTTCATCATGGCGTTGCTTAATAAATTTTGTATTTCATGATAGTATTTTTTGTGCTTTTTGGCATGGTTAAATTAATTTTAAATAAATTTAATATAATGGTTGCCTACCTAATTGTGTGGTTGCATATATCTGTGGATAGGCCACTCTTTGCTAAAAATACGCTAATATATTAGCATTCCTTTCATATCCACAATTAAAAATCGCGGTTATGTTTACTCATATTTAAGATGTATATTTTTTAAGCATGAACATTTCATTGAATTTTTTGATATTTTTAAAAACCTTATTTCTAGTTGAACAAGTTCATTTATGCAACAAAAAATGCATAAATATAAACAGAAAGAAAAAAATCTGAACAAAATCGGATGTATAAAAAATATGCTAACAAATTCCAAAATAAGATTTCTACACAATTAAATTTGGATTTTCTCGAAAGACTCAGTTGAACGAAATGATAACTCACCTTGATAGGAACGCAGGCGAAGACGAGTAACAGATCGGCAGAAGCAAGAGACAGCAGGAAAACATTAGTCACCGACCTCATCTTTTTGAATTTCAAAATGCAGATGATCACCAAACTATTTCCGACACTTCCAGCTAAAAATGTGAGCCCGTATACAATTGACACAATGATAGTTTCAATATGATTGGTCTCGTTTAAATCATCGTCGTCGTCACCCAGGTAGACCGCATCGTTGTCCTCATATTCTGCAGTGGCGGATGGCTCTTCGTTCGACTCGTCAGAATAAACCAGCTGACGTTTGTTGATTTTGTGTTTTTGAAAAGTATTCGACTTTGTCTTGCTCTCTGCTGCAGAGATATCTACATTACTCAATGAAAAGTCTGCAAAAACATTTTCTTCCGTCCTACTTTTGTTAGCATTTTTTTCAATTAAATTCTTGTTTGAACTGTCAAAAGTCACATTTAATAGTGGAGAAATAATAGTTTGAGGCAGTGGTGGTGACGTTGGGTGTGACGATGATGACGATGATGATGATGATGACGATGATGATGACGATGATGATGATGATGATGACGATGATGATGATGATGACTCGGATGCTACATCCAATGATTGTAGATTTGGAAATAAAGATGAAGATCCCTCATATTTGTTTCTACTTTTTTTTTTATTTTTAGCCATATCTATTTTGGAATGATTGTCGGTTGAAGATGCTAGGCCCGCGACGTTTAAATAATTCGAAGAAGTTAACGGGGATTTTGAAAATGGTGATGGTAGTGATGAGAATGTTGATGACGGTACTGACAATGATGTTGATGATGGTAGTGATGAGAATGTTGATGGTGGTGGTGATGATGATGCTAATGGTGGTAGTGGTAGTCGGGGAGACGGCTGCAAATTCGATGCTGCTACTGAAGATGATAACAACAGCATTAATAATGACAATAACGGCATAAACAATGGTGAAGATGATGATGATGGATAAGATGATGATGAGGAGGAAGAAGATGATGATGATGGAGAAGATGATGAGGAGGAGGAAGAAGATGATGATGGTGTTGATGATGTCGTTGGCGTTTCTGAGTTCCATGTCGAAATTGTAAACGGATTTATTGATATGGATGACGTCATTTTTCTGAGCATCTGAGTCGCGCTTTTTGACAGTAAATGTAAATGATGTTAAAGTTCTAAAACTGATATATGCTGATATGTGTATATATATATATATATTTGTGTGTGTGTGTGTGATGTGTGTTTTACTGCTTTACATATTATATTGTCAATCATCTACTACATTTGGCTTTGATTATTCTTGTCACTATTACAGATACACAGCCATATTATCGCATTATTATCGTGACATTAAATATCTTGATTTAACATGATGATGATGATGATGATGATGATGACGACGATGATGACGATGATGATGGTGGAGATTAAGGTAATAGTGGTAGTGAGGATGATGGTAGTTGTGGTG